TATTAATAGCAAGATGAAGGGAGGCAGGAAGTTCTAAGATGGATAAACCACAGAATCCAATGTGCCTGGAGAGTGTGAAGAAGTGTTTGGATTAGAGAGCTCTATTTTTAATCAACCATAAGGAATTATTTTTATTTTCTTAACTTTTCTTTTTGAAATAATTTCAGTCTTTAAAAAGTTGCAAAAATAGTAAAAAGATTTTATATAAACTTTTACCCAGATACCCGAAATGTTAACACTTTCTTGAGTACAAGCATCAAAATCGCAAAATTAACACTGATACATTGTTATCATTGTATACAATGCATATAAGAGATACAATGTTATTATATCAATATAACACTGCTACAATGTTTATCTGATCTACACAATTTATTCTGATTTCACCAATTGTCCCACCCTTGCTCTTTTTCCAGCCAAGGCTCTAATCCAGGATTTCACATTGTGTTTTACTGTCAGGCTCCTTAGTCTCTTTCAGTACAGAACAGTTTCTCAGTGTTTGTCTTTTGTGAACTTGATACTTAATAAACTGTCCCTGAATTTCAGTTTGTCTGCTCCCTCCTCATGATTAAATTCAGGTTATGCATTTGGTAACCATATCACAGAAATGATGTATCCTTTTCACGGCATCATATTGGGAGATAATGTCTAGTGATATCCAAGGGTTTCTCCACTGTACAGTTATGAATTTCAGAGAGAGAATAGTGTCTTTTGAAGACAGACTTTGAGATAGATGATGTAAATATCTTTTTGTTATTTTGTTACTTCTATTTTTAGAGATAATGTAAATGGTTTTTTAATCACAAGTTCATCCACTAATTTTAACATCCATTGATGATTCTTGCATGAACCAACCATAATTTTAAACTAGAATAACAGTGAAGAGAAACACGAAGAAACCTGTGAAAATCGCCTTAAAAATGGGAATATCCTTTGGCCCTCTCTTTCTCAGATAGCAGGTGGAAGTCATATGCTGTCTATTTCTTTAAATTATTAATGAGTCCTGGGCTTTCCCTGAATGGCCTGGGTCCTACAGACCCTTAAGAGTGCTGTGTCTCATAACTTCGGCTGGCTGGGCAATATGGCCTTGTGGCAGCCATATTTTAGACTCTGCATAAATCCTCAACCTTACACTCCATGCTAACAGATCTTAGATTTCTCTGTCTATTTACACAGTTACCTGCCTGTCCTGGCACATGTGGTATCACTTGGGCTGAACCTGTTTTCATTTTCTTCTCACTTCTTACAAATCAAATACTTCCCACAAGTCTCAGCTGGAAGCTCTCTTCTGCATTAAGTCATTATGGCGGCACCGGGCTTTGCTTTTCTTTTGACATTTTTCTGCATTTAAGAATCAAGTTTGGAACCAGCATGGTGGCTCACACCTGTAATCCCAGCACTTTGGGAGGCTGAGGTGGGAGAAACACTTGAGTTTAGGAATTTGAGACCAGACTGGGCAATAAAGTGAGACCTCATCTCTCCAAAAAAAATAAAAAACGAATTAGCTGGATGTGGTGGTGATCGCCTGCAGTCCCAGCTACTCAGGTGGCTGAGTGGGGAGGATCGCTTAAGCCTAGGAGGTCAAGGCTGCAGGGAGCTGTGATTGTGCCACTGCACTCCAACCTGGGTGACAGAACAAGACCCTGTCTCAAAAAAATAAATAAATAAAAGGTTTGGGCCTCAGCATCCATTCAATACCTCCTATGGCGGGTGGCAGACAAGGAAGGGTAATTCATATCTCTTGAGAGGTAGTAAAAAGTGAATAAAATCAATGAATTCTAAAACAGAAAGAACAATGCTCATGGAAATCCAAAGAAATCACAGTAAAGGTGGCATTTAAAATGGCCCAGGAAGACTGCAGATTCTGAGCTCTGTGTGAAGGTATTAGGCCTTGTAGGCTAAAAGAAAAGCTGGCTATGGGCATAAAGTGGTCACACAAGAGATATATGCAAAATGTATCTGGGGCTGAAATAGTATGCATTCTAGAGTGGTTGAGAAAAGGGATCAGAAGAGAGAGGCTGAAATATCTTACACAGGCCCTTGTGCTGTGCACAGTGGTACCTGAGTCTGGGATGGAAGGCAGACTGGATAAGGGTGTTACTGGAAGAATGGGCGCCAGTCAGTTTCAGGTGGAAGACAATCACCCAAATGTAGGCAGCAGTTGGAAAGGTGCAGCTAGTTTGCAAACAACCAGTGTATAATTTTTTCTCTGAAATTCTGAAATCCCAAAGGCCGAAAACCAAAATTTTTTTCCTGATCTTGCAGAAAACATATTTGGTAGAAAAACCTAACCTGAACTGATGCAAAGCTATTTATTGTCTTTGTGTTTATCTCACCTAGTAGATTAAAAGATAGCCACCGTTCTTTATTGCGCCTCCCATCCACAGGTGGTATCTGTTTCCCTTGTGTGTGAATCTGGCTGGCCTTGTCATTCATTAGCTTAGACCAATAAAATGTGGTGGAAATGAGTCTGTGTAGCCTTCAGGGTGGGGCCTTAAAAGATCTGCTTCTGCATTTGCCCTTCTCAGAAAGTCTCTTGCAGTAGCCAGGTGCTAGGTAGAAGTCCAACCACTATGAGCTTCTCATTCTGTTAGAAAGCCCAAGTTGCACAGAGAAGGAGGCAAGCTGAAAGAGCACTGAAATGCACAAATAGGAATGAAGACTTTTTAGATCTTCTAGCCCTGCCAAGTCACCAACGGAAAGCAGCTGAGTAAATGACTCCAATTACACGATGCAAAGCAGAAGAACCTGCCAGCCAAGCCCTTCCTAAATTCCTGACACAACAAATTCCTGAGCAAATAAAAGTTTTTAAGTTATTAATGTTTTAAGTTATTCAAATGTGAACATTTGATACATTGTGATAGATAATCCAAGCATATACTTGTATCATTCATGTAATTTTTCTTGCAGAAAATTAGGGTATTAGTGTCACTGCACACCTCATTGAAGGTATTATGTAATATGTGGTATATGTACATTTTACCTTTCTAAATTAAAAAAAAAAAATCTGAATTTAGAAATCCATTTGACCACAAGAATTTTAAGGCAGGGTGTAGTGGTTCACACCTGTAATCCAAGCACTTTGGAGGCCAAGGTGGGCGGATCACCTGAGGTTGGGAGTTCAAGACTAGCCTGACCAACATGGTGAAACCCCGTCTTAAAATAAAATAAATAAAAAGAAAAAATAAAAAAAATTTTAAGAGAGGATTGTACTTTGTATTATGGAAATAGAGTTGTCTAGACTCGCTTTGTCTTTTGTATTCACTAAATGTCATGCATGAAGCTTGAGTCCCCTCCAGCCATTTCATGTATGTATCTCTTGTTTCCCCAAACTCATTAGCAGTTTGTCTAAAGCGGCAGCTAACTTCAGCAGGCATCAGGGTCTTTTGGAGGGCTTGTTCAATCACAGCTTCCTGGCTCCACCCTCAGAGTTCCTGATTCAGTGAGTCTGGGGCTGGAGCTTGAGAACTTGCATTTTTCTGACAGGTTCCCAGGGAACTTGCCTTCTGTTGGTCCCAGGACCACTTTGAGAACTACTGCTCCAGGGGAAAGTGCTATATTTTAAATTTTTAAAATTTACCCACCAGCCCAGGGTGCTTACCAAATGCATATGGATGGATGAAATTTCCCCCAAATCTTCTTGGCCATGCTTTACCCGGAGGTCTTCCTCGTTAGGCTCTATACTTAAAAGACACTAATTACTTGTTTTATTTTATTAGATTGTAGTTTTTGCTTTCTTCTCACACACTTGGTAAGACACTGTGAAGAAAATGTCCCTTCTGATCTCTTTTTTAACCTGTTTTGGAACAGATCAGCAGGAATGCATTCACTGTGAATCCAAAGTGACCCTTGATTTATAGCCAAAGATTATTTCCTTTTCTTTTGGTGGCTTTCAGATAAAATGTTTCTTGCCACCCTTTCACAAAATAGAGGGAGGGACCAAGCGGAAGATAATCTTTTTACTCAGAGGTCCATCTGTCAAAGCCTGCATTTTACGACGGCATTACAGAGGCCCAAAAAGTAGAGCTACTCGCCCTGGATCAAACAGCGGATAAACGCAGGCACCCGCGCTCGAGCGCAGTCCTTCCCTGACCCTGTTACAAGCTGCCTCTCTAAATGAGGACCCCCGTTTCCTTCCCATGCCAGGGCAGCACAGCTCGTTTGTCCTAAAGTTAACCTTACACAAACCACAGTTCTCAATCCCTCTTGAAACATTTGTTTTCCCAAGGGTGACGGGACGGTCACGCGGATTCATCTTAACCGGGGACCCTAAACGTCTCTCCTCCTCCAACCCCGGCGCCGTCACCCACGCTCCACTGGACAGAGCCGCGCAGAGCTCCTGGGAGCGTCGCGCCCTGAAAGCCAAGCGATTAAGTTGGTTCCACAAATTGTTCCCGACAGGAGGGGCAGGAAATAACACCGCGCTCCGGTGGCGGCCGCAGCAGGAAGGAGAGAAGCGCGGGCCGTCTCCCGGCAGTGCTGGCGGCCTCTTGTCGATCTCGGGTCTAAGGTCCGGCCAGGTCATCACTCCTGCTGTTTCCCCAACATTTGAGGCCCACGCCACGCCCTGCATCGGTCCCCGCTCTGTCCTTCCCTCCGCGCCGAGTTCAGGCGCGGCGGGGCCCCTGGATGCCGGGGTTTCCTTAAGGGGCTCCAATGCCGGCGGCCCCCGACCCGCCCAGGTGGAAGGAGACAGGTCAGTGGCTGCTGCGGACCTGGGCCAGGCGGGGCCTGACGGAGGCAAAGGCCGGGAGCGGGAGCCGAAGGCGGCCAGAGGACCCCTGCGCCCTCTCCTCCGCGCCGCCCGCCGGGCTGCCAGCCCAGCCACCCTGGGCGCGACGCGGCGCCTTCTCCGTCTCTGGGAGTCGGGAAACAGGTGAAGAGGCTGGGCGTCGACTGAGCGTCCGCGGCGCCTCCGCGGGGCGGTCCCTCTCCTGCCCGCCTCCCGCCCGCCCCTCTCCACGCCCCCTCCCCTCCTCCGGGCCTCCATCAGCTGCCCCGCAGCGTCCCCTCGCTCCTCTCCTCTTCCTCCAGGGCCCTAGCGCAGCCCGGGAGTCCGCGCACGGAGGCGCTAGGGGCGTCCCGCACTCGAGGGACACGCGCCGCGCCTGGACGGCCCCCGGCGGGCGCCCCCAGTGCACCCCGTGTCCCGCGCCTGCCGCGCTCCCCTCCCCCGCGTTGGTATCCCGGGGGCCCAGGGCCGCGCGTCCCGGGGGACGCGCCAGTCCGGCCGTGGCGCGACGATGGAGGATCCGCAGCGCCCCCGCTCGCACACCGTCACCACCACCGCCAGCTCCTTCGCAGAAAACTTCTCCACCAGCAGCAGCAGCTTCGCCTACGACCGGGAGTTTCTCCGCACCCTGCCGGGCCTTCTCATCGTGGCCGAGATCGTGAGTGCCGGCGGGCTGGGGGTGTCGGGGGTTCAGCCGGACCCGGCGTGTGCTTCCTCGGTGTTTCTCGGGATGGAGCCTGCTCAGATCCTCCCGCGTGCTTCAGGGAACCGTTTTTGTTCAGCCTCGACTTCTTTCCGAAGTGCAAAATTCAGACTCCTCTCTCCAAACGAGGTCCAAGAAACTCGGGCTCTCCTGGGAAGGAAGGGTGGTGATCCTCAGGATGTGTTGCTGCGGGAGAAATTCAGCTTGTTGCGCCCTCTCGGTGGCGGCGGCAGATTAGGGGAGCAGGACGCTTGGCTTAGTGGCTATTGAGTTTGTGTTGAGCGTCAGGGACACCTGGTGCCTCTCTCACCTGATCTCCACGTGGATGGCCTCCTCCCTCAAAAAAAAGCTCTCCTAAGATCAGGGGAAGAGGAACGGGCTTCTTTCTTTTTCTGATTATCTCCTTGGTAGTCACGTTGAGGTGAGTCAGGAAAATTTTGCTGAATAAAATCTGAGTGCCGCCACCTATTTCAGGACCAAAGAGGTCTTCTGCCTGGTGCTGTGCACATCCTGGTTTAGGCTCAACATTCCTGGGTTGGAGGTGGGCATGGGCGTTCTTCTCTCCATTGGAGGACATGGAGGCTGGAAACTCCAGCGATCTCCCGGGAAATCCCAGCCAGTCCTTCAAGGCTGAGAAAGGACTGGCGCCCTGTCAGCAGCTAGAGGTGGTCACTGTTTGAGTCTTCTTCGTGTACCAGGGTCTTGTCAAGTCCTTGAGATGTCCTTGTACCATTGTGTAATCCACACAACCCCGTCCCCTGTGAAGGCCTAGAGAGGGGAAGTAAATTACACCAGTGGATGGTGTAAAACCCAGGCCTGCCTTTCTGCAGGACACTGCTCCTAACCGGGAACAGCTGAGACAGCTTCCAGCCGCCTCAGCAGTGCCCTTCCGCCGTGTCTCAGACTTTGGTTAAATATATGGGAACCGAAATCCAGCCTTGTGGGAGTTAGAGAATGGGCACGCCATCATGGCGCAGAGGTGACTGAAGACCTGGGCAGTTCCTTTGAGAAACCTGAAGTAAATTCTGTGTACCTCAAATAGCTTGCTCGCTCCCCCAGCCTCAGACCCCACCCGGACCGGCTATATCAAGCCCCAGATGGCCATAGTGGGATGAGGTGTTGGCTCAGCTCCTCTCCCACCTGGTTCTCTCAGGGGGTATTGAGGCCCTCAGGAGACTCAAAAGGCTCAGGTGTTGAAATCACTTTGCAGGGCCTGGCGTTTAGGAGTTCAACAAATATTTGCTGTGCGAATGAAGGAGTTGGCAGGCCCCTCCGCTTCAGCAGAGCAAACAAAAGCTAAAATGACGGAGACGGGGCTTCTACCTTGGGGTGGGTTTGGACCAGGCATGAAGTAAAACGCCTTTTTTTTTTTCTGATTTATGATCAATATGCTGTGTTCCGCACTTTTTCAGGAAATACAAAAGTGAAAGAAGAAATGTAAATGGCCCACAATCCCATTACTACAAATAATCACTGTTGACAAGTTAGCATGTAGCCTTTTAGAAAAAGATGGGGAAACATGTAAGCAAAATCACCCTCATTACTATTATAGTTTTTATTTTTGACAGAGTGAATTATGCACCTTTTCTTGTTTGTTTCGAGACAGGATTTTTCTGTCTCCTAGGCTGGGGTGCAGTGTCACCATCACGGCACACAGCCACCTTGACCTCTCTGGTTCAAGCGATCTTCCCATCTCAGCCTCCCAAGTAGTTGGGACCACAGGCATGCACAACCACACTTGGAACATTTTTAATTTTTTTTTTTTTTGAGACGGAGTTTTGCTCTTGTTACCCAGGCTGGAGTGCAATGGCTCAATCTTGGCTCACCGCAACCTCCGCCTCCTGGGTTCAGGCAATTCTCCTGCCTCAGCTTCCCGAGTAGCTGGGACTACAGGCACGTGCCACCATGCCTAGCTAATTTTTTTGTATTTTTAGTAGAGACGGGGTTTCACCATGTTGACCAGGATGGTCTCGATTTTTGACCTCGTGATCCACCCGCCTCAGCCTCCCAAAGTGCTGGGATTACAGGCATGAGCCACCACCGCACCCAGCCAATTTTTAGTTTTTTTTCTAGGGAAAGGGTCTCCGTGTTGCCCAGCTGATCTCAAACTCCTAGGCTCAAGCAGTCCTCCCGACTCAGCCTCCCAAGGTGCCGGGATTATAGGCCTGAACCACTGTGCCTCACCTTATGCACCTCTTTTGAAGATTCGGTACTACAGGCAGAAATATAAGTTTCTCCAACTACCTTCAACTCTTAGAACTTCTAAATAGCATGTTTATAATGCTGCTGTTTGGTGTTCCCTTAGCCACCCAGTCGCAAGCATTATTCATTGCCTTTGTATTCTGAAAGATGAGGCTTTAGCTGGGATGCCATCTTCCCCACCTCCAATTAAACATTCACTCTTCCTGCCTCCCAGTGTAGGTCCCCACTTATGATGGTTCCACTTAGGATTTTTCAGCTTTATAGATGTTGGAAAAGCCGTATGCATTCGGTTGAAATCATACTTTGAATTTTGATTTTTGGTCTTTTCCCGGGCTAGCAATATATAGTAGATATTTTCTCATGCTGTTGGGGCCACTCTCAGTCACCCACACCATCACCAGCGCAAAATCACCCATCCTCTCCAGTGTGCTGTGCTGCTGGCTGATTCAGCCAGCTGTGGGCTAACATAAGCGTTCCAAGCACGTTGAAGGTAGGCTAGGCTCAGCTATGATGTTTGGTAGGCTAGGGGTATTAAATGCATTTTTAACTTTGGATACTTTCCACTTAGGATGGGTTTATCAGGTCGTAACCTCATCGGATGTCAAGGTGCATCTGTGTTGTCATCAGGTGATTTGGGTTAGATCAGCCAGTATTGACCTGTGATGCTATAAATGCTACTTATAACTGAGCCACTGAGTAGACTATGAATGCTTTTCCTTTCCTGCCCACTTTCTTGTTTGCCTTGGTGTAATTTTCTTATTTCTCCAGATATTTAGTCAGTAATTTGAATTTAAGTCTCCCACCAGCAAGTTGAGAGATGTCGGGTATTCTACCAGAGTTCATCCTCATCACTGGCCTCTTAGGAAGATTCTCTTCCCTTCTCTCGTGGGTTGGATCCTCTGCTTCCCATGTCCAGTGTCCTCTGTCTCGCCTTACTCCCACTGGGGGGACACACAGTTTCTTGTAGCTTTCTAAGAAAGCGTGCATGTGGAAACTGAACTTTGCACCTTTCAGAATATCTTGATTCTACACACAATTCACAGTTTGACTAGGTAAAGAATGTTAGATTGAAAATGTTTTTCTTCAGAATTTAAAATGTATTCTCTTACTGTCCTTTAGCTATCCTGATTTAATTTTTTTTGAGACTGTGTCTCACTCTGTCACCAGGCTGGAGTGCAGTGGTGCAATCACAGCTCACTGCGACCTACCCTACATGGGCTCAAGTGATCCTCTCACCTCAGCCTCCCAAGTAGCTGTGACCACAGGCCAGGTGATTTTTTTTTTTTTTTTTTTTTTTGGTAGAGACAGTATTTTGCCATGTTGCCCAGGCTGGTCTCGAATTCCTGAACTCGAGCGATCTGCCTCCCAAAAATGCTGGGTTTATAGGTGTGAGCCACTGCACCTGGCTGTAAAAATTTTTTATTTCAATTATCTCCCCCTACTGCCTGACTTCTGGAAACTTGTTGAATTTTCTTTTTCCCAGAGATCTAAAATATCACAAAGACATCCCTTCCTATGAGTGTATTTACTCTCAGTACACTGGGAACCTGGTACATTCGCACAAATAAGGAAAATTCATGTAAGTTTTAGAAGACTCCGCCCCCTTTTTACAAAGGTATTTAGTAAACAAAATACACTTTTTTTTTCTCTTTTTTTAGACAGAATCTGGCTCAGTTGCTCAGGCTGAAGTGCAGTGGTTCGTTCTCACAATGTCACCTGGGGTGGAATGCAGTGGTGCAATCCCAGCTCACTGCAACCTCTGCCTGCTGGGTTCAAGCAATTCTGGTGCCTCAACCTCCCAAGTAGCTGGGATTATAGACAGACACCACCATTTCTGCCTAATTTTTGTATTATTCATAGAGACAGGGTTTCGTCATGTTGGATGGGCTGGCCTTGAATTCCTGACCTCAAGTGATCCCCCCATCTCAGCCTCCCAAAGTGCTGTGATTACAGGTGTGAGCCACCTCACCCAACCAAAATGAAATAACGGTTCTTTTAAAAGTTTATAAACATGCACATTGTTGGCTGGGCATGATGGTTCACATCTGTAGTCCCAGCACTTTGGGAGGCGGAGGCCAGCAGGTTGCCTAAGCCCAGGAGTTTGAGACCAGCCTGGCCAACATGGTGAAACCCCTTCTCTACTGAAAATTCAAAACTTAGCCTGGTTTCGTGGTGGGCATCTGTAGTCTCAGCTAGTTGGGAGGCTGAGGCAGAAGGATTACTTGAGCCCAGGAGGTTGAGGTTGCAGTGAGCTGGGATTGCACCATTATATTCCACCCTGGGTGACATTGCGAGACCCTGTCTAAAAAAATAATTTAAAAAATTTAAAAACACATTGTTTTAAGTTAAAGATATAGGTTGGGAATGTGTCGGATAATTGTCTTCTCAGCTGCAGTCCACTTAGACGGACATTTACATTAAGAGTTCCGGAAGGCAGTGCAGCTCACTGTGGTTGGATGCATTTGACCTGGGTCAGTTTCTGGTTCTGCTCTTCACCACGTACCGCGTGAGCCATTCTTTCAATTGGAAAGTACCTCATAGAGTTGTCAGGACCTGAGCAACAGCTGTGCATGAAATGCTCGGCAGAATACCCTGGATTACTCTTCAGTTATCTCTTTCTCACATGCTACTTCTCTTCAGCTTCTAATTTCCCTTTTCCTTTGGTATATTTCAACTCCAGCAAATGCCAGAAAGAGAATTAATGGTTTCTCTGCCAAGATATTATAGCAGCAGGGGTGAGTTTTCAAGCATCT